TACATATTTTGTCATTACTCTGTTATCTATCTGTAAGTAGTTGCTTATTCTTCTCTTGTGAAATTGGCAAGCTTTCTTTTCCTAAGTAATTTCTTCTTCTGCAGCTTACTACCGTGGAGCAATGGGCATATTGCTGGTGTATGATGTGACTGATGAATCGTCCTTTAACAGTAATTACTCCATATCCTTATCATCCTTTCTTATTGACTTCTAATTATCCTCACCTCGTTGGCCCAGTAGAGGATTTTTTATATGTTTATATTGAGTCTTTTAATTGCCACTATTTTTTGTTATTGCATTTGAATTTTCAATTGCACAACTAACTTTTCATGATTTGTAGTATGTTCTATCTTGTCAAAAACCCAAAAATGACTTTTGCCTCTGTTTAGACATTAGGAATTGGATCAGAAACATTGAACAACATGCTTCTGACAATGTTAACAAGATATTGGTGGGTAACAAGGCTGACATGGATGAAAGCAAAAGGGTATGATCTCTCTCCCTCCCTCCCTCCCTTCCTTATATATGTAGCATGTGTAGGCATGCATGTCTCTGCTGGTTTGCATGGGTGTGTTCATATTCATGCAACATTGTTCTGATGGGGAATATCTAGCAGACTAGAGGAGATCAAATAACTTGGAATTTGTCAAGCATTATTTCATCATATAGATTTGAAAATTCCAAGCATTAAAAAAACAGGTAATAAGTGATGGAAAGGCATAGAAAGATGTCATGGCCGAAAGATTAACTACAGACAGATGCATATCATATCATTGGGTGCAACTTTGCAGGGGTGTGTGCATATGTGGGACTTGGGAGTATTGCTTTGACGGGAGATATCTAGAGCTCAAATAACTTGGAATTTGGCAACAATTGTTTCATTTAAATCAAATTATATAATCTGATGGATTTGTTAGAGAAGAAGGTGAAAAATAATGGGAAGGCATATAAAGATGCCTTTCCAGATAGGTTAAACTAGTCAGAGATGCATATAATTTTATTGTTTTTAACGTGCACACATCTTTTTAATGTAGCTTGTTTTTTATATTCCTAGATTGATCTGATCCCAATCTTCTGTACTCTCTTCTATAGGCAGTTCCTACCTCCAGGGGTCAAGCACTGGCTGATGAGTATGGAATTAAATTCTTTGAGACGGTAAGTAGTACTTGTTGCTGATTTTGGAATTGCGTACAGAAGAATTCCGTCTTAATAACACTATGTAAAACAGAGTGCAAAGACAAATATGAATGTGGAAGAGGTTTTCTTCTCGATAGCCAGGGATATAAAGCAAAGACTTTCTGAAACTGACTCACGGGCTGAGGTATTGAGTACTTGTTTTTATGTGTCAGGAATGTCTTTGTATGTTTGTGCATAATCTTGGGAATGAACTATCTGTTTCTGGATTATTGCAGCCTCAAACCATTAGGATTACCCAACCAGACCAGACTGCAGGGGCGTCTCAAGCTGCTCAAAAATCAGCTTGCTGTGGTTCTTGAGGGATTCAATCGGAAATAGGATGATCAGATACGTCCTAAAATTGACCATTTTGACGGAGGAACTAGTTTTAATATGACAATATCGATGTTGCTCCTATTGTTATCCCTCATTATTTATAGTTGATTCACAATGCGTTTTGATGGCAGTTATGAATGTTTTGTTATTAACTTTTGGTTTCTGTTTATTTCAAGTGTAAAGTTTAATAGAATCGTACCAAAAAGTGGAAAAACTAGCGTGAAGTTGTACACTTTCTCATTACATTGTTCGAACAATTTTAAGGTATCAAGTTATCCACCTTGCGGTCCCCCATCAATTTAAGCAGTTGGATTTTGCTGGTTTGAATGCTCGAAGTTGAAGCTCTTTATGAACACTTCCAGAAACATCACTATGGCATATCTTTTTGATGAAAATGAGATGATGCTGTATCTTGGACAAGTGTAATCAAATGTTTGCTCCTCTTAGCTGTTGTTTGGTATACTTTTTGAAAATCATTTTTTCCTCAAAACTCGTTTTCAACTGTGAACTCTCGAAATAAAATAATTTTGAATGTATATCTTTAATTTTTTCTACTTTTTAATTATACGTTTCTCATTTCAATAAATCTCTTCCAACAATCTTATTTGGAGGGTGAGTTCGACTCTCCAAATTTGAATAGCCAAACCCAGTCTTGATTTAAAAAGATTAAAAACAAAAACTCTTTTGGACCTTATTTTATCCATTGATCCTCTAAAATTGAGTTTCTTTTAGAAATGTTCTAAAGATTATAAATCTAAATTATTCTACATCAGTCAAAAAGTATAGAAGTCTCGATAGGAAAGTTAGCAGCATGTATTCTTGACCGAACATGCATAGTATTGATGGTATTTACCATCAGTTTATATGAAATTAATTGATACGTCGAATAAAACTAATTTACTTCATATCTTTTTATTTAAACATCATTTGTGTTACGGAACATTATTATCAGTGCAAATATTTAATTATAGAATCCGCTTAACAACATTTTAGTCATAAATTTCTCCAAATTAAGAGAGCAAGAACCCAAAGCTCCTACACAAGTAATATTTATGCCCTCGTTTGATGATCATTAAAACGAAAGTCTCTTTGTCACAAACTTATTTTCAACCACACATTCCAGCTATAAAATATTTTACACGTAAATTCATTTTTATTTTTATTTTTTACTTTTTAACAACAGAGTTTTCAAAAAATCAATATTCCAAAACTAATTTTAATTGTCAAACTAATCTATATGCTAAGGTCGTGTTTGATAGGCCACATTTTTCGGGAAGTAGGAAAATATTTTTCACT